CATCGTGCAGCCCCAGCACCACCTGGGCAGAGGAGAGGAGAGAGGCACAGCTGCCCTTCTGCTCTCCCCTGCAGATTTCACTTGGGCACCACCATCGGGCTGTAGACTTCCCGCACTGCAATCTGGCTGAGGACCACAGCCCAAACCAGCAGCACCATGTCCACCAAGTCTACCAAGTGATTCTCAAGGCACCTCTGGAAGGCTCCTGAGCCTTGGGAGAGGCATGGAGATGGAGTGTGTGAAGCTGGATTCGGGCCATCAGAGTCACTCCTGGTCGAGCTGATCCCTTCAAGCGCCGGACCCAGTTCACGCAGCTCAGACAGCTCCTACTTGGCAAACGGAGTCAGGGATCACCCTGGCATCTCTCTGGGGCAGCTCAGCTGCTAAGTCTGCTGGGCATCCAGCCACCAACCCCTCTGCTGACCATGTCAACCACGGGGCTCAGGCCAGGGGACCTTCTCAGAGCCACCTGCCCACAGGGCACAGCAGGCAGAAGAAATGCATCAACCAGCTTCACCGGCTGAGGAGTTAAGCCATGGATTCAGCTCTCCTCAAGGATGTGCCACTCAGGCGCCAGACACTAACACCAGCTGCCACTGGTGTCCTCAGCATGAAGGGGCCTTCACACATCCCTCAAAATCCAGACACAACTTGCTAGCCACCTCTAAGTGTTCCCTGCATGTTGGCTTTGCACAGCATGAGGTGGTTCCCCAGAGCTCAGGGGTAGACACCTATGCCCTTGCTGGGTGCAAAGTCAGTGGATGGCAGCTTGTGGCTCCCTCACGTGTTGAAAAAGTCTCCATCAAGAGAGAGGTCCCCTGGGAAGGCACACAGTGAGAAGGGCATCACTCCAGCTGACGGAGATGCTGAGCCTGTTCCCACAGGGCAGGAGGAAGCAAAGGCATGAAGCTGGATGGGTTCTGCTTCAACAGCCAACCGCTTGCTCCAGCACTCGGCTCAAGTGCAGGATTGCTTCTCTACACCATCCCTCTCAAAAGGTCCCAGAGGGAATTAAACCATGCTCTCATTAGTCTAACAGGTTCCTGAAGTTTGCCAGCTTTTCCTGTGCCCTTTCCCCCAGAATTCATTCTCTTCAGACTTCCCTCTCCAGCCTCTTCTCTGCCTCTCACAGCCATTTCACAGCCTTAGAAACCTCTCAAAAATGCCACCCTTCTGATAGTCCAGATGCCTCCAGTAAGCCAGGGAGGTCAACTTAAAAAAAAAAGAAGAAGGAAAATTACCCCTTGAATTTCTCAAATAACTGATAAAAAGCAATTAAACAATGGAAAGTCACCAGGTCCTTTGTGCCGGTGTGTTAACAGAATAGTGCTTCGCAAAACTACCCAGAAACAGGAAAACTCAACGGGCTGCTGGACACAACATGCCACAATGCACATTCTCAGCTCATTTTTAGAGAAGGAAGGATGCTGAGCTGTCTTGGGTAAGGAGAGGAACGCTGGAGTGGTCGAGCTCAGCTATAGCAAGAGTCTGCTTTGAAGCCTTGCCTCCTTTTAAGTTGTGGAGAAGGAGAAAGGACAGAGTTAAAGGAGAGTTAGTTAAAAAACAATAACACACCAAAAAAAAAAAAAACCAGCAGGGAAGAGGACATTTGGAGAGGCTGTTGGCAAGACACCAAGGACAGAGCAAGAGGAAAGGTGGGGAACTCAAGAGGGAACCTTCTTGATGTTTGCTTGGAGCTCACCAAGTGGGAGGAGAAATGAACTAATTAGTAATATCAGGACAGGAGCCACGCTAGCATATATAAGCTGGTGGGGCATTTTCTTTTTCCCCACTCTTCTGGTGCTGCTTTCCTTCTGTCCTGGCCAGGAAAGCAACAGTCACCCTCCAACTCATCGAAAAGGTAAGAGCACTTTCTTCATTTCTTTTCATAAGTAATGAATGTGCACCCTGTTACTGACTTACCTGGATCTTTCTTCCCACCCCCCAAAACTCCTGATGAACAGCATTTGCACAGTCCTCCTGAGTGAGAGCAGCAAAGGCTCGGGAGGAACACTGAGGTTGGGGAATGCCATAAGAATTTCAATTATTGAGAGTTTTCTAGCAGAGTGAGGATTTATTAGTACTGCTTAGCCCAGTTGGCTGAATCTCTGGGGGAAAAAAAAAAAAAACAAAAACACACCAAAAAAAAAAAAAACAAAAACACACCAAAAAAAAAAAAAACAAAAACACACCAAAAAAAAAAAAAACAAAAACACACCAAAAAAAAAAAAAACAAAAACACACCAAAAAAAAAAAAAACAAAAACACACCAAAAAAAAAAAAAACAAAAACACACCAAAAAAAAAAAAAACAAAAACACACCAAAAAAAAAAAAAACAAAAACACACCAAAAAAAAAAAAAACAAAAACACACCAAAAAAAAAAAAAACAAAAACACACCAAAAAAAAAAAAAACAAAAAAACCTGAAACTCTTTAACATCTCCTTTTACTGCTTTTCTATTCTGCAAAATGAAAAATGCCCAGATAGTAATAATATGCAGTTAATGTGATAGTATCTCTGGATTTCTCTGTCCCCAAGAGACAGGTCTTTGAAAATTGAATTGCGAATGGGCTTAATGAATATTTGAATCTGAGGGATGAGCTTTTTTTTCTTTTGAACTAATGCTTCGAAATGTGTCTTCTGTGGGAAAACGTGAACCTTTGTTTTTTTCAGTGAGGGTCAAGTGCATTACAATCTCTCTTGTTTTGAGGAGCGTGGCTGTGCCTGTGTGCCTTCCTATACATAACACTCTACTTACCCAGCTGTACTAAACCCCCGGTAACATTACACAGGCTCTGCTGGAATCAGAGCCGCTGAGAATCTGGCCCTTTCCTCCTATTGTACTTGGGCGCTGGAATTCCTCTAAAAACAGGCTGTTCACAGAGCTGGTTGCCCGCACACTTCACAGCAACAATCCAGGGAATGCATGATACAAAGGCTGCAATTGTGCCGTAGCAGTTCCTCGGGCAAACAAATACCACATGGTAATTTAAATCCTCTTGATTTACCGAGTAACTCGAATTTTGGCAGGGAGAGAGGAAAATTCCAGAAAGAAGAGAAAGTACTAGATAATTTTGCTGCGTTTAAAAGCCCAATGCCTAGCAACACAGGCACCAGCTCGGAAATAGCTATTACCTAGGAGTATTAAAACAATTAGCCAAATAAAAGCCTCTGTTTTTTTCCCAACTGCACGCACAGCGCTGCTTTTAGCATGTATAAAACTCAACGAATATGTGACAGGGCTTGTGTCCACTTCAGCATGTGAATAAAGAGGTATTTGCAGGCCAGATGTTGCAGGAGTGCAGCACCAGCACCGGTTCTGCTACCCAGCAGCTTTAATGAGGCACAACCGAGATGCCGTAGGTATGGCGTGACAGGGAAGGAGTGTACACAAGGGAAAGAGAAATTCATTTAGGGAGACATGAAGTTGCATAACATCAGTGCTTTGCTACGGGTCATTTATTAACGCTGAAGAGATGATAAAAAAACTCGCAATAGATTAGCTTCTTGGCCCTGTGATGATTTCATTCTCATGCAAGGTAAACATGTCTTTTTTTTCCTTTTCTATTCACACTATTTCTGTTTTCCATTTCACGGCTGATACAAAAGTATTTAGATACTTTTAGCTGCAAAACTTTCCTTCTTGCTTACGTGAGCATCCCTAGCAAGGGTGGCAGAGAGGTATTATCCAACAGCATGAAGGTAACCAGGCAAAGGGAGGCAGGGAATATCTGGAATCACGGGGGAAAAGCAGCAGACCCCCAAATCTAGCTTTCCCTTTCCACAGCACGCGATGGGAAAATAGTTTCAAATAGCTCCTCTGCACTCACAGCAGAGCACAAATCAGTTCTGGCACCATAGAGATGAAGTTCACATTCAGGCTCACTCTGCCTGAGTCCTGCTGCTGCTCCCATGTCACTCCGGTTACACGCCGGCGTTGGGAGCCCGCAGTGCTTTTTCCACCAAACGCTTGGCTGGAGCACCTCTCCAGAGCACACATGAGATCAGGCAGCACGCTGCAAGCTGGGTGTCTGACAACAGGATTTACACAGCCTTTACTTTAAAATCTGAGATCAAAAAAACGCTTTCCCAGACTAATAAAAATAAGAAAAAAAAAAATATTAAATTCAAAATCTTTCCACCCTGCAGAAGCCAAGCAGTCTGTTCCAGCAGAACAGTCCTTTCACAGTTTCTTCCTTTGTGCACCAAAAGAAAAAAAGCTTACTTTGACTGAAAACCATGTTACCTTAGCTTGAATAACAGGTCTTCAAAAGACTGGCCTTCATGCAGTCCCACCCAGAAAAGGCACACTTCAGCTTGAATTAAAAACCAGACATCACTGTCTTGAAATTCTCGGAGCATCTCCATTATTTTGTGATGAAATACCTTTTGTATTCTGTCCTTTCTTAAATAGCTGCTATTGTCTGCTCCCTAAAAAAAGGCAATGTGTTAGCATTTCATTAATCTGAGTATATATGACAACTACTGCTACTTAAAATTCCAAAAAATATTTAAAATGTCCCCAAAATTCTATGCTGGTACTGGTTTCCAAGTGGCTCACTACTTCTTTATACTTTCTTTGGACAACTAAGTAGAAGTGGTTCAAGTCCTCCATCCTCTGTGTTTCTGGACAGATGGGACAAGCACCACATCTGTAGTGACCTCCAAACCTCCATACAGAGGAGGTAGCCAACAGGGCTGGATCTGGGTCTTTATGGTGTTGTGAAGACCCCACCTGAAACCAGGGGTGCTCTTGGCCTACCCTTTATGTACCAGGCTCCTCTGCAGGTGCTGAGGTGTTTCGTAATGGTTTCCTTCCCCTTTAGCATTTATAAGCCGATCAGAAAGATGAACTGAAGTTCATGTGATTTGCCTCTAGAGAGACACATCACTCTCTTATGGACAGGGAAACAATGAACATGAGTTTGATCACTGGCCAGAAGGTGCCCGTGATCACCCCCCCCCAAGCACTCTGATTCTGAAAGAACAGGTATGCAGGGCATTGACGCAGCCTTCATCAGGGGTGAAGTACAAGTCAGGTTGGTGGAAGTGACTCACCTGGTCACCTGGTCTTTTTGCTGTGCCAAGTGCATCAAAGCTGACTTCATTTCTGTCCATGAAAACACACAGCAAAGGAGTTCTGCAGTCTCAGACTTGCACCATGCAGTACTACCTTAGGTATGTGCTTAAGTGCCTTCCCATGGCACAGCAACTCAAAGCGTTGATGAATTAGGGCCTCCAACATGACCCATTTTATTCTCCACTGTATAAATCAACCAGAGTGACTCCAGCACCTGTATGACATCAGTATTACATCCCATTACATCCAGTGCAGCAGAACACCTCCAGAATCCTGTGGTGCAAACAGCTCCTCACCCAGCAGGTGGGGAAACATATTGTGCGTGCTACCACAGGACACACAGCACTGCTCTGTACGTACAAACACAACAGTGCTTGGCTTCATGCACTAGCAACAGAGAAATCCTGAGCTTCATAAAGGGGAGGATTCTTTAAATTGAAAATGTAAATGCACTTTCACCAAATGAAGAGCATTTATCTTGGCTGGAAATTTTGATTTAACCGAAAGTGCAACCAATTCACTTATTCCATTATTTCAGAATGAAATATGAGAAAAGCGAAGGTTAACGAATCAAGGTAATGAATTATAACTGAGCCAGGAAAAAGCCTTCCAGCACCGAGACACCATGCCTAGAAACATTCTCATCTTTTTTTATCCTTCCTCCTCTTGTTAAGCTCCATCCTTTCGTGTCCTACACAAAGTCAAATTCAACACTTTTTGACCTACTGGTCCTGTCTTCAGCCTCTGTCGTGTGGAACCGACCCTTGCATTAGCAGGGCCCTTCCAGAAAAATGTCTATTTGTTATGTGTGCAAATATTTACTACTTCCTGAAGCATCACCATCAGCCTTCCAAGAACATACACTAAGAAATTGGCCAGGATGTACGTTAACTAGCTGTTCCCCTCGCAAAGCCTCAGAGCTGCTTAACCACATGTCTGGGCTTGCAAGTGTAATCCCCAGGGGTGAAGCTGCTTTAGCTTAAGTCCTCAGCACCTGTGGTTCTGAAGTGTGGGTTCTCTTCCCCAGCTGCCAAGAAGGCTTTTAGTGAAGTTGCGAGTCAAGGACTAACTCCAATAATTACATGCTTGTATCATCTTATTTAGATTATCAACTCACAACCTAAATTCTTTACTTCTTGCACAAGTTGTTACTCACCAGTGAGACCTGAAGCAGCTCTGTTTCTGTATTCACTCAACAGCCTAGCTTGGCTCATGTTTTCTTTGACATTCTCTGACATTCTTCTTGACAATTACCAAGGATTAGTCCTGCTCTTCCGGAAAGTGAATACACTCCAGGAAAGGTTTGGTTGTTTTAAATTTGCTGACTTCATAATGAGAATATGCCTTTAAACAAGGGCAACAGAGCTGATGAGGGCTCTGGAGCACAAGTCTAGTGAGGAGCAGCTGAGGCTCTTCCGGAAAGTGAATACACTCCAGGAAAGGTTTGGTTGTTTTAAAGTTGCTGACTTCATAATGAGAATATGCCTTTAAACAAGGGCAACAGAGCTGATGAGGGCTCTGGAGCCCAAGTCTAGTGAGGAGCAGCTGAGGGAGCTGGGGGTGTTCAGCCTGGAGAAAAGGAGGCTGAGGGGAGACCTTCTCACTCTCTCCAACTCCCTGAAAGGAGGGTGTAGCCAGGAGGGGTCAGTCGCTTCTCCCAAGTAACCAGCACTAGGACACGAAGAAAAGGCCTCAAGTTGCACCAAGGGAGGTTTAGGATGGATATTAGGAAAAATTTCTTCACCAAAAGAGTTGTGAAGCATTGGAACAGGCCTCCCAGGGAAGTTTTGGTGTCACTGTCCCTGGAGATATTTAAAAGCTGGGCAGACGTGGTGCTGAGGGACATGGTTTAGTGGTGGTTTTGGTAGTGTTAGGTTAATGGTGGGACTTGATGAAATAAATAATGAATTAGCTATAGGACATTGGTTTTAAACTCCAGTGTTTACAGTTAAGTGTAACTCCACGTGCCTGTATGAAGCTGTCTAGAGCTGTATGAGGTGCCAAAGGGTTTTCCAGAAGCTCCTAATCCAAAGGGCATGTCTCCCATAGGGCACCCTGTTTCTGCCAGTCCCGTGTGGCTGCCCCAAACATTTCTCTTTGGCCTATAACACTCTCCTATCTTATTTAAGTCACGATATTAGTGTCCGCTAAATTTAATAGGAATCTTTTCATTAGTCCCTGAGGATTTCTATCTTGGCTTACACTGAAGAGCAAAGCCCAGTGCAGACAACGTAACACCCAACTGGGCAGCTGGCACAAAAAAGAAGCCAACGTGACCAAAGCAAATGGAAAGCAAGCCCTCTGAATTTGTCCTTCAAGCTCTTAAATCAGTACTGGTTATTTCTAAAGATGGGGCAGCTAAAAGTACTATTCAACACAGAAAAAAAAAATGTATGTATGCATGTGAGTAATGGAGTAAGGGATCATGAACAACCCCCAGGCTAAGACCGTGCTCATGAGAAAGGTTGAGCTGATCCCAGTAGGTGACTGCATAGAGATCCAAATTTTAGGTATCTATTATTGATGGTATTTAGCGATAAATTCAAACTGGAAATATATCTATTATTGTTGGCATTTAGCGATAAATTCAAACTGGAAATATGGGTGCAGCATCAGGGAAAACTTAATCATTGAAGCAGCTTCCTAGATTGTGGTTCAGCTTCTACCACCTTCTGTGTTCAACTTTTATCAATTTGAATCTTGAGGTAAGCTTTAACTTCTGTGAAGCCAGTGTCCTCTCATGTCATCTTGCTCTTCTTGAAGTCACTATTTAAATCAAGAGCTGCTTGATTTCTAGAAAACATGGTATAGCTGAGCAGGGTGTTAAAATCAGGTAAAATACTGTGACACCAGGCTCAGTGGTTCCTTATGGACTTCAAATCTATGACTGCATGAATGTCTAGAAGGACATCTCAGGATTCTAAAAACACTTAAAGGAGGTATGTGCTAATGGAGACATGAGAATCAGATGTTCAAAGTAAGGATTTTCCTCTTTCTGGTTCCAAAATACCATATGGTGAGCAATAACATGTGGTAGAGAGAATAAACTGGGATCAATAAGAGGCATTGTAATCATCTGTCCTTTTTTTCCCCCCATTGAATTTTACCAAAGGGTCAGAACATGAACATGGAGAACAGTGTTGATGTCAAGACAGAAACCAAGGGGGAAAGAAAGCCAGTAAAGCAGAACCCACTGAGCAAAGCAGGGAAGAGAACCTGCAGAGCTCTCGGGTACATCACTGGAGACATGAAGGAACTTGGAGCCTGGCTAAAAGGTAAAGCTACTTTATCATGACTAATTAGAGGATTCCAAAGAAGAATTACATAGAAGGAGTAACAACTAACTTCTTAATAAAATGATTTGAGTTGAAGTATTACAGAAACTAGCCCAGCCCTGACTTATTTCCATTTTGTAGGAAAAAAATCAGCTTTGTGCAGAGATCCAGGTATTGCTTAAATCTTGAGGATGACTGAGATGACATTTATCTCCCAACATGCCATGTACAAAGCCAATTTAGTCCCACAGAACATAACCCGGAATGGTTATTCTGTGCTCTGCCATTCTTCATAACCCTCCCTGTCCTTTCAGCTGAGGAGTTTCTGTCAAGCCTAATGCCACTGTGAAGTTAAATTACACATAGATAGGTGTGTTTGGTCCCCATAATAAATCAGCAACGGGCTACACACACGGTTTGCCATCTGAGGCACAGACATCATAAATTAGCTGGTTCATATGAAACCAGTTCAGGGTGCTTTATAACAGGGGACTCTGGCAACCACACCATTCATCTCAGCTCTTCAGCTGCAAGACTTCAGTGTAGACCACAATAAATCCCAGTCAGGTTTTACAGCCTTGTTGATTAATTGCTTCAGTTGTGCTGCCAAGTTCCACTGCCAAAATTCTTCCTGAGTTTCAAAAAAAAAAAAAAAAAAACCCATCCTGAATCAGTATCATCTGCAGATTTTAGGGGATTATTTTTTTGTTATTCTTTAATTTGATCTCTTTCAGATAAACCTCTCATGATACAGTTTATTGACTGGGTGCTGCGTGGGATATCCCAGGTGATGTTTGTCAACAATCCCCTCAGTGGGCTTATTGTAGTTGCTGGTTTCCTGGTGCAGAACCCGTGGTGGACACTCACGGGCTGTTTAGGAACAGTTGTCTCAACTTTAACAGCACTTATTCTGGGTCAGGACAGGTAAGTACATCCTTTCTCCCTTCGAGACCAGACCAGATGATTTCAATGCTGACTTAATGTGCTAAACAAGCAACATGGATTAAAAGCATGTGTCTAGCCTCCATGGGGTATGTATCTGGTCTGGTAGGACCAGACAGATCTTCTCACCACCTGCATGTGATGCAAAGGGACATGACTGCAGAAAGGGTAGTTGCTGAGAGGACCTGGGACTCAAGCTATAGAGAGGTAGAGAGGTTTGTGCTGGTCTCTTCTCACAGGTAATTAATGACAGAACGAGAGGGAATGGCTTCGAGCTCCAACAGGGTAGGTTTAGACTGAACATTAGGAGAGAATTTTTCACAGAAAGAGTGGTCGGGCATTGGAATAGGCTGCCCAGGGAGGCGGTTGAGTCACCATCCCTGGATGTGTTTAAGAGCCGTTTAGATGTGGTGTTGGAGCATATGGTGTAGGGGAGGACTTTGTAGAGTAGGGTAGATGGTTGGACTCAATGATCCCAAGGGTCTCTTCCAACCTAGACGATCCTATGATCCTAAGTGTTGTGAAATGGAAGGTTGATGCATGAGCCTTGGCAGGTCATTACCACACAAAGTCACGATTGTATGGGGAGGGAGGATGTGATGACAGCAAAGCACTCGCAGGGAAGAAGGTTTCAAGATGGTTTTTTCCTTCACACAGGTCAGCCATAGCAGCCGGCCTGCATGGCTATAACGGGGTCTTGGTGGGGCTGCTCATGGCCGTCTTCTCTGCTAAGGGAGATTACCACTGGTGGCTTCTGCTGCCTGTAGTGCTGGTGTCCATGACCTGGTAAGTCAGATGGCTCCTCTGCTTCTTATTCCAGCTCCACACTGAGGCTGAGCTGTTGTGGTTTTACGCACTATATGGACTACAATAGAAAAGAAGTACAACTGGCACATATGTGCTACTAAATCTGTATCATTATTTGCACTTTTAAACTCAAACGTAATCCTGAAATGAATAAAATACCCACATAATCACAAATAAACCCAACGGGGAAAAGGAAAATTGATGGCTGAACGTATGTAATTCAATGCCCTAAATGTTAGCCATATTGCTGCTATGCATCAATTCATTTCTGTCTCAAGAGGAAAACTATTTTAAGCATTCCTTACCACCATCAACCACAACTGTTTCATCTATTTAAGCCACCATATAAAAACGTCATGAAAATTTACCTCTGCAGGCACACAACCTTTTCAGTGGTCACAAGACATGACGGTTGATGCTAATCAAAACAAACAACTAATAATACTATATTCGTATAAATGACACCATAATCTGCTGGGTATTTGGACAGCAAAAAATTTGAAGGCTGATCTCTCAACCCCAAATGTCTAGTTGGAGATTGCTAAACTAAGCATATCATCTCTCTGCCTGCAGTTCATGTAGTGTTATACTCACTTTAACAAGCACAACTTTGATGTCAGCCATTACTTCTGATCCATAAGTTTGGACAAAGACACACAGTTCACTCAGACCTGGCTGTCCTAAATTCAGTCTACTTCCAGTACTAATAAAAAAAATAATCTAAAACAACAACAACAAACCACTGAGACTGAGTTGAGGAATAACTCCATTAAATCACTGGTCCTCCATGTGAGTGGAGGATCTTGGCTCCCTCACGGTCACCATTTATTCATCAAATTTACCTCATATATTGTATAACATGACAGGAATCTGTACATTGTTAACCTCCCTGAGAAGGGTAGAAAATTTACCAAGTGACACTAGCATATCTGATTTTATCAGAAAGGTTGAGGAAAACAAACAGATTATTTTTTAAAAATAGAGTAAATTTCCTGCTATTGTTTTTTATGTTGGGTTTTTTTTTTTTTTTTGCCTAGCTGACAAGCTGTTAGTGGGTCCATTTTTGTTCTTCTTTCAGCCCTGTTTTCACCAGCGCTTTGAGCTCAGTCTTCTGTAAGTGGGATCTGCCTGTTTTCACCTTGCCTTTCAACTTGGCCTTGACCCTCTATCTGGCTGCATCAGGACCCCATAACCTCTACTTCCCTACAACCGTCATTCAGCCTGCAACAGCAACACCAAACATCACCTGGACGGATGCTGAAATGCCAATGGTAGGATGCCCTGGTGCCCTACAGATAACTGCCTTCTCCATTTACAAAGAAAACCACTACACAGTCATATTATCTTCCTTTATGTTCCTGCATTATGGCCTAGCAATGCAAAATTGCATTTATAAGAGAGCTATTACCCAAAACGTAAAGGTTTACTCTAGGAATTGACATTTTTGATAGCTTGAAAATAAGAAATTTTGGGGTATCTTTCCTTTATTTAGTTGGATCTAAATTATAATCTTCAAAGACCCTCTAGAATCTAATTATCCATTACAGTATGTATACTGATTAGTGCCTCTTAGATAAGATTATGCTGAGGCTACCAGTTAACTCACAGGTTGATTTTGGTTTCCATGTATAGAGAGCTGTGTTTTCAAAAATGCAGTGATCAAAAATGCACTGATTCAGAAATGCACCTCTCTGATTAGAAATGAGCAAGCAGATATCACTGTGGAAAGAATGGTTACAAATATGGGTGCGGGCACGTGCCCCCATATTTTGAGTTAATATTCAAGTGGGACCTTTCCAATGAAAAATTTGTTCTCCTGCATAGCACTGTAAACAACTTAGATAGTAGAGTAATAGCTTTCTCCTAAGGCTCAGAGGACTATTTTGAGTGTTTCCCAGGGAGTGATTAAGAAAAGGAAGTTAATTGACACTAAATAGCAATCCACACAAGTGACATTTCTCAAAGAACACTTACCATGGAGTCTAATTTTATGGGGACCACAAATGGGCTGTTCCATGCAGAGGAAGATAACATTTTGACGAAAAGTGTCTCAAAATTATCTCTAAGCTGTGACCAAGTTGGGCTCTGTCCCACCAACCCTCAGTCATGTTGCTAGTGAATCCATGGGAGTTTCAGATATATAAGCAGATCAGGGACATAGTCTTACCTGAGTAAATTCTTGTAATTCTGGCCAAGCCATTATTGGCCATTTCATCTTCGGATCTGCCCACTCAGAGGTGAATATCTTCTCAAAGGCATCATCTACCAAAAGCACTTCCATTTCCTAGATTCACTGTCATGGTCCATAATGGCATGCAAAAATGGCCAAGTCAGCAGCACATGTAAAGATGACGAGCAACCTTCCACAAAAGACATCTGCAGTTGATATTAGAGCAAAAACTCACCCAAGGAGCTCATGGTTAGGAACAAGGCATGATTCATATTTGTTCAAGGGGAAACCCTGTGGAAATGCCCTGCTGTCTCCTAAGAAGAGCCCAAATTTTCCACTTACAGTCCAGAAAGAGACACTGCATGCAACAAATGCTCAACATGAACTTGGCCAAGAAAAATAGGTTTAAAAAAAAAAAAAAAGAAATTACAAAGCTGATCAAAAAATTAAATTATTGCTTGCTTGTTTGTTTTTTAAATTCCCGCAGCTCCTGCAATCCACTCTGGTCGGGGTGGGTCAGGTTTATGGCTGTGATAATCCCTGGACAGGGGGAATCTTCCTGATTGCTTTATTTATCTCTTCTCCACTCATTTGTCTGCATGCGACAATTGGATCAGCAGTGGGGATGCTGGCAGGTAAGGGTTTGACTTGTGTCACAGATTTATATAAAAGCATGGAGAATAAAAGAGGAACTGCAATGAGTGGAACATTTACAGTCACAAATGTTTCTTTCACTGGAGAATAACTGCTTGAAAAAAAATGCATATATATATATTGTTAAGTTATAAGAATTCTTTTGATTGACTTTCCCATTCTCTTACTTCACTTTATGATGATGAAAAATCTTCAGAAGAAGGAAGCGTATTTGGGGCTGAAATGAATTTTTATCATGAAATACTTCATTTCTGGATATATTCTGATGTTTTTAGAAGCAGCTTAATAAAAACCATAGTCATCAGTCTGAATGTGCAGGCCTCAGGGATGCATTTAGAGTCCACGTACACGCTCATTCACTCATATATCTTCTGCTGAAAACGTACGGCCCAATTCAGCCCAGCAGCACCAGGGAAATTCTGCCACGATTGCATCAGATTAAAAAGGCTTTACTCTTACACTGTAGCAACACGATTGCAAAATAGGAACTGAATGTACCTATGCAGGCTAGAGCCCTAAAAAAGTTGAATTCATGCCATTTCTAGCTGCTTTAATCTCTTTGGCCAAGGAATGACACTTCTTTGACTTATTTTGCAGCACTGAGCTTAGCGACACCTTTCAGCACAATCTACTCCGGGTTGTGGGGCTACAACAGCTCCCTCTCCTGCATTGCCATCGGGGGCATGTTCTACGCTTTCACCTGGCAGACACATCTGCTGGCAATTGCCTGTGGTACGTACCCGAGGGATTTTTGGCTACTGCCAGGTTTTCTTTTGAAGTGAGACACGACGCGTTGACACCGGAGGTGGGCTGAAGCCAGATGGCCACCTCCAGGTGGGCAGGTGGACCTGGGCGAGACTGACGAGCGATGGAGCCGGATGTCAGAGCCATTGCTCCAAAGTCCCCTGACAAAAAAATAAAAGGTGTTGCTTTTGCTTTCAACCAAGAGTTGTATTCAAAGGAAGAGATGCCATCAGTGGACACTGATTGAAATTAGACGCCCAGTTTTGAGGCACTAGTTGTATTTGCTCAACATTGCTGGATGAGTCATATTGTTTTTTCCAATCATAGGACACCAGGTCAAATTCCTTTTGTGGAAAATGACATATCTAAACTTTGAGAAAACTGGAGCTCAAGATCAGCCCACGTCTGTAGTTAGGCAGTACAGTTTCCCCAGTCTATTGAAATGGAAACACAGAATGATTGAAGAATTATTTATAAGGCAATTCCACATGAAATTTCAATATCGCAATGAGCTGGGAGTGAAGCTATTGCTCATTCAGTGCTCATATAAAAAAGATTTAGCTTTGTATCTCATTGACCCACCTGCTAGCCCCAGAGGCAGGGGAGATGGGGGTGGAAGGGTTATTTTCCTATTTAACCCCATCCATCAAGCTACATACTTTCCACACCGGTGCATTTTTCAAAAGCTTCTATTTCCATTGTCACATTTTTCATCATTCCAGTTCTTTTTCTTTTTTTTTTTTTTGTTTTGTTTTGTCCTTTCCATGAGCTCCAGGTTGGAGGGGACACAGTGCAAAGGGAAGGGCTTTAAGAGGGGGCTGTCCAGGGATGGTCATAAGCATTGGTTGAGCTGCCCAAGGCGTGTGAGAGATGTTTGTCCTTGCTGGTCTCCTCCATGAGCAAATAAACTCACCAGCAACTACCTTTCTTTCTCACAGCGCTCTTCAGTGCCTACCTGGGAGCAACAGTGATGACCATGTTGTCTGTGGTAAGTAGTGAATGAACCAAGGTCATTTTTCCAAAGACAAGTTTGAAAATTGCGTATTTTCCTGCCTTGTGAGGCAAAACACCAAAACTCAGAGAACAGTTCAGAACTGGTCTGGGAAAGGGGACGCAGCCTGTCCAGGGGGGTCGATGTGGTTCCCACTGAAAAATGTCACCAACAACTGTTGCCACTTTTCATCCTCAGAGCTTGAATGGACTTCCACAGCTCAGGCCTCACCACCTCTGAGATAATGATATCTCTACACTCTGTGCCAGAACTGATTGGGAAAAGGGCCCTCCACACGTGTAAAGAGACCTCAAATTTGGTTTAACTGCTGTGCCCAAGTGCCAAAAGGCAGTCAGTGACAGAGCCCAGGGAAAAGCTGAATGTTCTGGTATCCAGTCCTGTCTCATCCCCACCCAAGACCACTGCAGATGCACAAAGTGAAGGCAGCCTTCTTGCCAGAGCTGGTAGATGTTGCAGTTTAATGCACAATTACTAGATCTCAAAGAATTTGTGCCTCCCCAGGGAGAGACTCCACGAAAAACTAAGTCCAAGTCAAGACTTCCTTGAGAATGCTTGTTCCAAGCTGCCCAGTTTTGTTCAAGGGTTGGAGGGGTCAAGTGAAAGAAAGTCACATAGTAAATAGGTGGTTTGTATTTTTCTTTGCAGTTTGGGTTGCCATCAGGGACCTGGTCCTTTTGCTTGTCTGCGCTGACCTTCCTGTTAATAACCACAAACAACTCTGCCATCTACAAGCTGCCACTCTCCAAAGTCACCTACCCAGAAGCCAACCGAGCTTATTACCTAGAGATGAAGAAACATCAGAGGTCTTGTTGTGAGGTATAAAGACACAAGAAGAGAAATATTTCCTAGATTTTAAGGCAAGAGCGTAAGGTGTTTCCCCAAAATATGTGATTTGTGTGCTACAAAGACAAAAGACCAAAAAAAGGCCACCTTCTGAGTGCAGAGGCTTTTTCCACCACATTCATTTGTTCTATTTTTATGAGATACGACTGTGCTGTGCTGAACGGACCTTTCCCAAGACCTATCTGTAATGATTTAAAAGCACATATGCCTGAGAAGACACTTGAATTTTAAGCAGTGGAGAAATGATTTAGCAGCTGAAAGGAAAAATCTCTTTGGGGAATCCAAGTCACAGCAATGGGACATAAAGCAATAAAGACCAGAGTATCTCTCAGCATCTGATGGGACTTCTAATTAATGGCTAAAACCAGCTTATGACAGCAATAGGATACATCTTAGAGAGCATCATAGTAACAGAGAAGTGGAATAAAGAGTACCCTTGGCTAAGCAGAAAATTGGTGATGAAGAATTCTACCTGGAGGATCTCTCAAGCCTGGTGGAGATGTGCATTAACAACCATCATGCAAAAGACAGACACAGATAAATTGCAGGTAGCACTGCCAACACTTGCAAGACTTGTGGTAAAAGTCACAATAACAGCAGGGAGGAGGGTGTCTGTCAGCCCCAGCTTTTGGATGTTTTAGTTTGCACTAGGCTCTAACATTTCACGATAAAAACGTTTCAGGCCTACCCAGTTGCAGAAAAAAGTCTGTAAACCGAAGGCCAAGAAAGCAAATGCCAGTGAAAAGAATCTTTTTCTGAAAAAAAGAAAGGGGGGGGGGGGGGGGAGGGAATTAAGTGCCATGATTTTACTTTAATGTCATGATTTTTCTAGATACTTGAACTTGGTCATGGGTTAGCAAAAGAGAGGACAGCAGAAAAATCATTGCTGTGCCTTTCCTACTCAATAAAATGGCTCTGTTCAGTCTGTGCACAAGTAGAATGAATTCGAGCTGATCTTCTTGACCCTTCTTCTCCTTACACCCATCCCCCTCAGCCCACAAATACCAAGCAGCAAAATGCTGCACTGTCCCAGCCTGAAGCTGCTGCTCTGCCCAGCAATGGGAAGGGGATGGTTGGAGGACTGGTGGATGTAGCAGAGCTCTGCAGCTCACTGGCCTTGTGCCACCTCTGCACAGACTGCCAGGGTCTCTGGGTAGGGAAGGAGGAAGCTGATCTCGCACCCAAAGAGCTGGTCACCTCAGTGGATGTTAACTCAGCCACTTTTCTGCCCAGCTCATCGAGATACTTCATCTCATGATGAAGCTGACATCTTCACCACAATTACTCCATATGTTCAGGTCCTTCAGTTGGCATTACGCTACCTGCAGTAATGTCATAGTATCATAGTGTTGTTTGGGTTGGAAGAGACCTTTAAAGGCCATCTAGTCCAACTCCCACTCCCATGAGTGGGGACACCTTCAACTATGTCAGGTTGTTCTTCCTGGGAAAGCAGATCAAAACCAGTTCCTCTTCTGGTAGAGGAAATAAAAAATAGCCTGTGAAAAGTGTTGCTGATGATTTTGGGGGTTGGAAAAAACAATGCTTTTTTACGATCACCAAAAATGTCTGAGTGTTCAAGAAGGACAGGGAACTACTGGAAAGAGACCAGCAAAGGCTACGAAGATGGTCAAGGGCCTGGAGCATCTCTTTGATGAGGAAAGGCTGAGAGACCTGGGCCTGTTCAGCCTGGAGAAAAGAAGACTGAGAGGGGACCTCATCAATGCTGAGCAATATCTAAAGGGCAGGTGTCAAGAGGATGGGGCCAGGTTCTTCTCAGTGGTGCCCGGTGACAGGACAAGGAGCAAAAGGCACGAACTGGAACATGGGAAATTCCATCTCAACATGAGGAAAAGCTTCTTTCCCTTGAGAGTGGCAGAGCCCTGGAAGAGGCTGCCCAGAGAGGGTGTGGAGTCTCCTTCTCTGGAGATATTCCAAACCCACTTGGATGTGTTCCTGTCCAGCCTGCTCTGGGTGACCCTGCTTTGGTAGGGTGTTGGACTAGATGGTCTCCAGAGGTTCCTTCCAGCCCCTGCAATTCTGTGATTCTGAGTGAAAAATATTTGGATGAACTGCTGGCAGTATTTTCTGGTGAAGTGTTAGGTTTTCAGAAGTTTGACAGTATTTCTGTACAACTGACACTCCAGAGATCACTTGTAAAAATATATCATTTCCTGTGTTTTACTTGGTAAATAGCTATATAACATTGTGTGGAGTTAATTTTAAAAACAAATATTCATACTTTTTTTGAGTTTGGTATAAGTTTTCCTCTGTTTATCATCACTAAGCTCTTCCAAAGTCAGGTTATCTCTTAAATAAGTAGTCTAGAAGACATTGGAAAATAAAATTATGGATATTTAGGAAACTTCCAACTTCTGCTCTTTGTTCTTATGGCATTTTGCTGCATCAACACCTTCTCAAATGTGCAAGGGCAAAGTGTCCTTCTGTGCAGGAGGCACGATCAGCTGAAGGCAGAGCTATGGCTGGGGCTGGAAACCTCCTCAACAGTAGGTGAGGACTTGCTCCTAGGGGAGATACTGGACAGAAACCTAAATTGGAAGTAGATAAGGGTCATGTTCTGTCCAGAGGATGCACTTGTCAAGCTGTGGCAGAAAAGGGTATATTTTGGTGTCCGAACTGACGTCTCCACACCCAACACCACGTGTGCCCCCGAGAGGCAAACCTACAAAGGCTTGCCTTCACTCCTCTGTCAAAATCTGCACCCGGTGAAGAGCACACGCTTTATGGCCAGTGTAAATCAGCAGATTTCCTCTGACTGGTGCTGTTTCAACTCGCTGTTGCTGAGCAACGGGGAGGTTTTGCAGTGCCGTAAAGAAACCATATGCACGGAACAGAAAAACAGGAAAAGACGAAGGCCGTTAGAAAGATTTTGCACGTCATTCAGAATTAATTCTTCATTTTACGCTATTCAGAGAATTCATCCTTCCCATCACCCCACGCAAAATAATGGTTATTTGGTAATTTGACTTGTATATCAGTCAGAATATGCATACCATGCTTTTTCCCATTACCGTTCATAACACAGTCTTTGCTAACAGAACTAATTTATCTTATTATTGAAACTGTTCTTTTTTCTCTTTTCATCAAATAAATGCTATTCAAGCCACTTTTTTTTTCTTCGAGCATTATTTTTGCAATCTTGTTTCTGACACACAGGTGATAGCAGACTCATAAGAAATTTGTATGCTGGGCAGGAATTTTGGGGATCTTTCTTGGACTACTTCCCTCCAGGTGCCAGCATAACTCACCCAAAGATATATCACTGTGTTTAACATTTCTAAAAAATACAAAAATATTAATAATTTAAAAAAAAATATCACAGCATCAAACCCCTTGAAAACATCTGCTTGGAATCAGATTTTATCCAAAAGTCTAACTCAAATACAGCCAACTTCAGCTGCTGCAGTGTTCAACTGCTTACTTAATAGTCTGTCTTATCCCACTCTACTCAGCACTTGTCAGGCCATACCTGCAATACGAGGCTCAGTTTTGGTCCCCACTATACAAATGTTATAGACAGGCTGAAGAGGGTCCAGAGAAGGGCCACCAAGATGATCAAAGGACATGTATGAGGAAAGGCTGAGAGAACTGGGTTTGCTCAGCCTTGAAAAAAGAAGGTTTGGGGAGACCTTATCACCACGTTCCAGTGTTCAAAGGGTGACTACAAAGGGAGATGGAGACTCCCTTTTTACAAGGAGTCACATGGAAAAGATGAGGGGTAAATGGGCACAAGTTACTCCTGGGGAGATTTTGATCAGACACAAGAGGAAAATTTTTCACAATGGGAACAATCAGCACTGGAATAATCTCCCCAGGGAAGTGGTGGATTCCCAGTCGTTGGACAATTTTAAGATGTAGCTGGACAGGGAGCTGGGTCGTCTTGTCTAGAGTGTGCTTTTACCAGAAAAGGTTGGACCAGGTGAGTCTTGATGTTCCTTCCAACTTGGTATTCTGTGATTCTATGTCTTTGGTACTCACACAAGGGGAAGAAGGCCAGAGGAGGCAATGTCATTGCAGCCCTGCCTTTTGCCTGACACAGGAGCACACACCTGGAGTAGAAATAGATGTAGCACGAGAGACTCTGCAACCAGATGGTTCTGGGCATCACCCAAGGGTATCACTGAAAAAAGAAGCCACTGAGAACCGGCGAAAGGGAGGCTGAAAGGGCACACATGTGACAGAGGAGCTCATGTTTCTTCCTGTGCTACCATAAGAGCCTCAGGGACTAGGGCAACAAGATCCAGTCTGAGGCCAGATGAAATCCTGCCCACCACCAACAGCCTTTCAAACCGCCCCAGGGAGTGATGGAGCTGGGGAGCTGGCCCCAAGCATATTACAGAATCACAGAATCTTCTAGGTTGGAAGGGACCTTAAAGATCATCTTGTCCAACCGTCAACCTAACTGACAAAAATAGACACCCACACAACAAACAAGAAGCATCACCATCACTAAACCATACCTCCCAGCACTACATCAACCCGTCTTTTGAACACCTCCAGGGATGGTGCCTCAACCACCTCCCTGGGCAGCCCATTCCAATGTCTTATAATCCTTTCAGTGAAAAAATTTTTCCTAATATCCAGCCTGAACCTCCCCTGGCGTAACTTGAGATCATAACCATATTCAACCACCATGAGAAGGATTTCTCACAACAGATTCAGAGGCTTTGAAGTGAGAAACAACATCAGTCCCATGACCAAACAGAATTACCTGCGTGGGGAAAATGTGTCTCAGTTGCACTCGTAACATCGGAGCAATTGCCTCCACTTTTAGGCCCAGTGTGGTCAATGAGATTATTTTTTTGAGTAAAATAAAACCACGTTTTCACATGATTGCAAAATTAGGAGTTCAAATGCAAACACTTTCTAGGAAAAATTTGTTTTTTCCTTTCCTTTGGCTCCTGTGGAAATACATGGATTAGAACCATGGGCTTGGAAAACTAGCAAACTACAAATCCCTTCACTTCAGATTAAACATTCTTGGATCAGTCTTCAGTTTAATCAGAAAAGGCTGAAATCAGTGGGAGTTTAATTTTCTAATTAGTATAATTACAGAAATAATACTAGGAAAAGCGTGCCCCTGGCATGGAGCACTGGGAAGGAAAAGAAGGAACTTTTTCAAGTGGAATTTTCCAGCAAAACAGTCCCAGTGCCTCCGCCACAAAGCAGCTATAAAACACACCTTGGTGTATAGTTTTCATGGGGGAGGATGTGATGCTCCATAGAAAAATCAGCCACTTTGGACCCCATTGCTGCACAAAGGATCTGCTTCAGGTGAAGACACGATTCACAGCATTATACTGCACTGGCTGTCCCCTCGTACCACACTGACATACCAATGTGTAGGACAACCTAGAAGAGTAGGTTTCAACTGTATAGACAAAAAAATCTTCTGATGTGTCTTCTCACAATAGCTTTTTTTATTATTAAGTTAAAACAAATTAAACGAAGGGAAGTATCTTCCCTCGGGAGATTATTCCAATGGCTGATTACTCTCACTGTGAAAAATTCTTGACTGTGAGGGTGGTGAGACAGGTTGCCCAGAGAAGCTGTGGCTGCCCCATCCCTGGAGGGGTTCAAGGCCAGGTTGAAAGGGGTTTTGATCAACCTGGTCTGGTGGGAGGTGTCCCTGCCCAGGGCAGGGGTTGGAACTGGGTGATCCTTAAGCTCCCTTCCAACCCAAACCAGTCTATGGTTCTAAGCAAGGGTCATGTCTCTAACAAAAAAGAAAATTCAAAGACAAAGTAGCCATTCTAAT